TCAAAATATTCCCATCATTATTTAACTCCCCTGGTACATTTATGAGACAGTTTGATCCTCACACTCCAGCATGTACAGAAGTCACAGGACTATACGGAGAGAGCTGTACTGCTCTGAGCAAGCATTTATATGGAAATTCACATCTTCAGCTACTCCAGGCCTTGTGCCCCTGCCCTTAACCCAGCACTTACCTGATTCTTTCCAATCTTCTTGTCCCAGGATTTGCTGGCTCCTGCCTGCCCAGATTCAGCACCATGCCCTTCATCTACTGAAACATCAATGAAGGGCACCACTATGCCAGAAACAATGATAAATCCTACTGGCTGTCCACAAATGCCCCCATTCCCATGATGCCTGTGGGCCAGACCCAGATTCCCCAGTACATCAGCCAACTGCTCTGTGAGACACCTTCAAAAGCCATTGCCGTGCACAGCCAGGACATCACCATCCCACAGTGCCCTCTGGGCTGGCAAAGCCTCTGGATCAGTTATTTATTCCTCATGGTGAAGTCTTGAACCATTCCGTCTCTCAGTGGAGAAACATAGATAGAGGGTAGGAGAGAAGAGCTCAGGGAAGGGCCCCTCCCTTTGATCCCAGGCTCAAGGGAAAATGTTTAGAAAACAGAGTTTAACAGGAAGAGAGATGAAGATATACATTACAGTTTGTTGCGGTTGTGGGGGGAAGATAGCAATTTGAACCTGGTGTTCTGATCTGAGAACATGAATCAATCACAAGCCAAGGCCCTGCTCTATGTGTCGTTCAATTTTGTCGCTACTAAGGGAATGATATAACACACTGTAATGGTAGCTGATACTGAGGGAAATGTTGTCCTCAACTGAGGCCAGCATACAATTTTACTGATGAGGCCGAACATAACATTCACTGCATTGATGTTCACCTTCCCATATCCAACCAGCTTCTCCTATATCTTTTTGCTATCTCTTTTTAAGGATTGACATGAAAGAATGCTGCATTTGTATGGTTGTGTGGTCATTTTGTTGCTTCACCACTTTGTAAAGTTCCTTCACACTTTTTGTGTCTGTTTGTGTGTGTGTGTGAGAGAGAGAGAGAGACAGAGACAGAAAGAGGGGGAGAGGGGGCAGTGGCCAGACATGCTGTGTGTCTAGTTAAGAAAGAGAACATCTGTAACCCCACAGAGATGATTTGTAACTATCTGGAGATTTTTCTTCAAATGAAATCAGGAGTAAGGCTAAAACAGCTCCCAGGAAAAGTGCAGTGTGAAACTCACTGAAATCTCCTGGGTAGCCAGAGCTTCTCTGTGAATCTCCAAAGGCCCTGGTGGAATTGTTGCCACCAAAAGCTGAAAGTTTTCATAAGGCTGAATCATCAACAAAGTGTCACTCTCTGCAAGTTCAGCAAACTGACAGACACATAGTCTGCTAGCCACTTGCTGTTGCAGATGAGCATGAAGCCCCTCTTTTTGGCAACCTGTACTTCGAGCTCAGTGGAAGGGAGGAGTTTGTGGTATAGATAGGAGGTCTGGAGGTACACTGACTGGAGACTGTCAGTACACAAGTGGCCTAGGAACTGAATTAAACAATAACAACAAAACCCTTGAAGGTTTTTTTTTTTTTGTGTGTGTGTGTGTGTGTGTGTGTGTGTGTGTGTGTTACTCTAAAGGGGTGTGGCACAGGTTGAAAGTAGAAATAGTTCTAGTGGAGACAGTTTCAAGATGAGAACTATTGGGGGATATGCTGTTATAAGAAGAAACATTGGGGAATAAATATTACTATCTCCTTCTCAGAGGACAGTGCACAGTAAAGGGCTAAAAGCACTTTTAATTCTGAAACTTAAAGCCAACCTTGCTCAGATGTGTATCACTGGGGCCAACAAGATGGTCCATCAGGCAAAGTTACCTGCCACTAATCCTTAGCCTGATCCTCAGACCCAACCCTCACACAAAATAAATACCTGTAACTTAAAATTTGTAAAGATGCATATGCCTGTGGAAAACAGGGGAAGATGAAGATAAATTTCTCTCATAGAGCTGTGACGTCTGTGGGACAGGCACAGATAGAGAAACACAGTTTGGAATGTGGTCGCTGATCATGTGGCATGGTTAGGAGAGCACAAAGGAGCCGGGGTAAGGGTGCAGCATCCCACAGCTATTTCAGGGAGGATGGCCAGTGCTTGCCTCCAAAGCCCAGGTTCAACATGCTGGCTAGAAGCTGAGTGATCCCTGGGTCCAGAGTTCTGGAATGGGGAACATATGCAGGAACAGGATGTGGTCCACCTCCACGTTGAATTCTCTCACAACTCACACAGCCCCCTCCCTTCTGGTTCAGTACACCTCTGCTGGGGCCAAGGGTGGAAGCCAGTCCCTAGTTTCCCCTGGTTCCTGCCTTGAGGACTTTCAAGCTACGCCTTTTGTGGAGTGTGGCAGTGCCTGTGGTACAAGCCACTACTTTGCCAACAAGTACAGTTTTTGGCTGACAACGGTGGAGGAGTGACGGCAATTTCAGAAAGAGCCAATGTCTGAGACACTGAAAACTAGGCAGCTCCACTGAAAAACCCATCATGCAGCCGCTGACCTCCCTACCAACCTCACAACACTTACCTCACAAGTGTGGGCAGTCTGCAAAAGGAAGGCCTCACCGAATTTGCCTGTCAAGTTTTATGTTGGAGTCTCATCTGGACTGGACTACTGCACATTAGTTATCCCAACCCTCAGGCCTAACAGAGAGAACACTGTGCTAGGGTTTGTTTTCCTAGTTCCATCAATCTGGTGCTAGTGTTCCATTTAGATATGTATGCCACCATTTATGGCTACCTCAGAAAGGTATACTAAACTGCCATTTTCTAAGACTGCTAAAGCTCTCCTCACTGCCTTGACTAGGAAGCTCAGTATAACAGCTAAGTTATTTGTTTATGACAAGAGATCACCGCACATTATTTGACTCAAACTAGAACTCAAGATTTCTACCCTAAAAGTGTGTCTCTGTCTCTGAACATCAGAGACAGCTCAAGTCTGCCTAGGGCTAGCCTTCCCTGCTGAAAGCAGCCTATTGTATCGAGACAGGAAGTAAGTAGTATTGGAATGAGGAGCCACCCTATAGCCAGAACTGAGCTGTGATTCCTTCCAGAGTTTAAATTCATGCCCCCGTCTTAACTAGGAAAGGCTGAAAGGCCAATGTTTGGTCCTACACAAATAACTGCCTCCTGGTTGGCTCTCTCCACAGCCAGAGAGACAGTCAACATTGGCCTGGTCCAAAGTAGAACAAAAAATGCAATAAATGTGACTGAGCTCACAAAAGGAAATGAGAATCACTTCTCTTTCTTGGCCTAGGGCAGAAAGGTGAATAGATATAGATGTTTTAGTTTTACTTTTAACTCCAGGAACAAAAAGGTAAATCTCAGGTCCCCATTCCTCAGAAATCCCTAGTTACTACAAATGCAACCCAGATGTGTGCAGGGTGGCAAATTGAAGCTGCAGCATGCTGAGTCCTTGCATTCTAAGGCTATTAGAGAGTTTCTGATAAAATGACCATCCAACTACTCTTTCATGGGTAGCCTCTAAAACTATTTGAACATTCTTTTTGAAAAATCTAGCACACACCATTGTTAGCAGACCCTAGGCACAGTCTGAGTTGGCCTTCCATTTAAAGGAATTCCTTTCAATTACCAGTCAAACACACTCAGTTACATTGACATGAAGCACCACCTTCCAGGTGATTTCACTTTCTTAAGTACTACGTAAACTGTGTCAAAACAGGCAAAGCATAACCAATATAATCCAAGCTATTGTCATCACTTCCTAGATAAGTAACAAATGGTGTTAGCTTTGTACATAGCAAATAAAAGGAATGAAATGTGAACATTTGACTTTTTGAGACTCTTTGAAAAACTTTTCTAATATCTGTTCTCACTAAACTTTATAACAAAACATTGAGACAGGGAGATTTAAACACAATTAAGTCAAAGGGCAGAAAGAGTCAACAAACCTACAGCATGCTTTGCAGTGAGCACACAACTGCTTTCATCTCTTTCACACACTAGAGTTCAAGAAAGGGGTTTTCATTCTTCAATGGCCTCAGGATCATTTTCTGATAAGTTAAAGGTAGGGAAATATTAAAACCAATGCAACGAAATCTTGTGGCTGGAGAGATGGCTTGGCTGTTAAGCGTGCTTGCTGCAAAATCATGAGGACTGGATTTGGGGTCCAACACCCAAATAAAAAAAACACTATTTCTGTGTATGCCTTAACTCTAGCTTCAAGGGACATGGAGATAGGATGATGGCTGGGTGTTACTGTCTTCCACCCTAACCAAGACAGATCATGGACAGATCCTCTCACAAAAGATTATATAGAGAATGATAAAGAGGATACCTGATGCCCTTTTCAAGCCTCTACCTGTGCATGTGTGAATATATGCAAGTGTGTGTATACATATATACACAAATATTTAAAAAATAAATCTAAACTACACGTGGACATATCTTTCATGTACACATAACTTAAATATGTGCATGTGTTTACATATGTAAAAGGCAATTCTGTGGAAGGATAAACAAACATAACCTAGATGTTTTCAAGAGAAGGAAACTGACCTGTGAGAGAAAATGATGTTTTGCTAAATAGCATTTTGCATCTTTTGAATTTTGAACCTATGGAATATATTACATACTGGCAAAAAAAGAAAAGGAAAGGAAAAGAAAGGAAGAAAAAGGAAAAGGAAAAGGAAAAGGAAAAGGAAAAGGTAGAACCTAAGGAGACAAGTGAGATTGTCAGAGCTAATTGAAGATGAAATGCAGACCTGTGTGAAACACAAAGTAAGGGGTTGGCAAAAGGAAGACGCATAGACAGTGTGGAGAGTTGAGCATCCTCCTCTACACATATTCAGCACAGGTATTCTGATAAGCATATGCTTCAAAACTTAAAAAAGGTATTAGTCCTAAAATGTATTATATTTAGTGGACAGATTAAATTCACCACATGATTAGTTCTTTCTAAATATAGTTATCAACCAAAACAGTATCATTCAAACAATTTATTTAATCCTTCAAACAAACAAAAATATCAATGCCGTAAGTGAGCAATTGGTAAGACCATATCCAGCCCTCCACTTGCTTTCATAAATCAAGTTGTATTACATTATAGCCATGCTCACTTACATACATATTGTCCAGGGCTGCTTTTATAGCACAGAATAGTTACAACAAAGGCCACCTGGCCTACAAAGCCTAAAATACTATCTACCTACTCCTTTACAGAAAAAGTTTGCTGACCTCTGCTTCAAGTGATCATGGTTTGATTTAAGGATGTGGTGACATCTAGTGAAAGGATCACTAAGGATGGAGACTGTAACCTATTGAATATGTTTCTTCAAACAGGAAGGCAAGAGGTGCACTTTGACATTATTTGTTTGACAGATTTTTTGATAAAAATTATAATTAGGTAAACTACATATTCAAATAATTTAACAAGAGTATTTCTCCCTGATTCATTTATTTTATTATTTGAGCAAGGGAACAGAGTTCTTCTTAGTATTTAGCCCCAAAGAGGTCACATGTAAAAGAGTGAAGAAGAACACTATAACCATTTCTCATCTTGCTGGTACTTGCATCAAGATGGGAGTTGTGATCTGTATTCCAAATGCCCTCATTTGAGCTGCTGAAGACTTGCTGTCACCATGCAAGACAAACTGGGAAGCAATGGATTCCAAATCTTTTTCTTCCTAGATTCCATGATTTTTTTCTCTTTCTTTTCAGAGACAGGTTGGTGTCATTGATTTCCTATTTTGTTTCATTTCTGAAAAATCATAATTGGCTCAGTCATAATTGCTATTGAGTTTTGATGCTGTTGGCATATCAGGCACTTGCTGACCAAAAAAGTTTAATGTAACAAGTTCATGTTTTTGTGGTGCCAGATGGAAGGCAGAAGTTCTCACTATCCTACACACTCAGAATTTCAAAATCTTCCTCCAGGTCAAAGTCCTCCAGTTGTTCAGTAGAGTCTATGAATTCTGTTGGAACATTGAAATGAGAAAGTAGAAAAGCACTGATGTTCTCAATCAAGATACTACCCAGTAACTGCAACTCTGCATGCTTGAATCAATTCACTAAAAGCGAGGTTTGTCTAGAGGAAATCTACAATTAGTACTAAAAGTGTTAACAATTTTATGTAAGACTTAAAAACAACCAGGACTGTTTATATAGGCCTGATCACAGTGATCTATGTTACCCTCTTTGTCTTTTGGCCAGTTTATTTGTTGAGATGAGGTCTTGGGATAGATCTCAAACTGGCCTGGAACTTAGGTTTCTTCATCCTCATTGTTTTGAGTGATTGCAGGTACACAACTACCAACACAAACATCAAGGTACTCTTTGAGATTCCCATGCCTCTGGTTTGTCATTCTAAAACAAATTCTAGGTATCTTTATTTTCCAAAGATAAATTTTTACACTGAGTTAATGTTCTTTTTGTTATCATTTTAAAACCAGCAAGTATCAGCTTTTCCAAAGATCAAAATAATCTGAAGCATCATTCTTTGATCAGACTAGATGAGTAGAAATTTTACTTTTCATAAATGAGCTACAATTATTTTGATCTCAGCAGGCATCTGCAACATGTCAGTCTGCCGGCCAAGAGCTTACAAAAACAGTTTACCTGCCCCTGTGGTTGTCACTTCTGGCTTGGCTGGTGGCACAAAGGGAGGCCAGTGTGATGGGTGTTTCTGAACTAATTCAAACATCCTCAAATTCTCCTTTAGAATTTCCTGGGCAGACAAAGAAGCCACTGTAAATACCATGGAGTCACTACACTTCTATGTAGTTGCCAACTCATGAACCTACACCCTGAGCATAACCTTGTAGTTGACAGGCATGAAAAAAGTACCTAGCAAATACATTCATCCTCTATTTGAATCATCTGAAGATATCAGCTGACTTCAGTTCCGGCTCCTGTTGACAAGGCAAGAAGGACACTGGAGCAGATAGTTACGGAACCCAGTGTAGACTGAGCCAGTCATGGGGTTCACAGAGTTCACCAGGTATACAGGTTCAGCTCAGTGTAGGCAAAATATGTTTAAGGAATGTCATGAAATTAAATTAAATATGCCCCAAGAGAATTCTGGTACACATTGCATGCCATCAGCTCTAGCCCACATTAAAAAAAAACAAAAAACATATCCTCAATTAAATATGTTATGCATTAAATTGTAATTGTGGCTTTAAACATCTATAAAGCTTTGCTACGTTGCGAAATGGAAGCATCTCCTTTAAAAATAACTGTCTTGGAGATCAGTGGTTAGGAGCACTTTCTGCTCTTCTAGAAGAACTAAATTTAGTACCCAGGACCCACAATGTGCAGGTTACAATCTGTATCTAAGTTTCCAGAGGATTCAATGCCCTCTTCTGGCCTCCATAGGTATCTGTATATACAGGGCACACTCCCACACACACATAAAAGTAAAGGTGATAAACATGAATCTTTAAAAAAATGTTCTTGGTTGTATGTGTCTGGGAGGTCATATTCTTCAGTGGTAACCACTGGTAACTTGTCATTGTTAAAGTAATTCAGACACCCCCAATTAAAATATAGTGGACTACAGACAACAAACAAACAAACAAACAAACAAACAAACAAAAAAGACATGAAGATGGAAGAGGGACTTGTTGAGAAGAAAGGGTTTGACAGGAGGGGGATAAGAGAGGACAATGGCAAACAATAAGATTATACACATATACATGTGTATATGTGTGTGCGAAGAAACTGGAAAAAGAAGAAAAATATAAATGTAACAAATTATATGACTTATTTGTGAATAATATTTACATAGGTACAGCAATAAGACAGGGTGTTGTTTTCCCCATTAAAAAGGAACAGTAGCCAGCGTGGTGCAGCATGCCTGTAATCTAAGCACTCAGGGAAGCAGAGGCAAACAGATCTCTATAAGTTTGAGAGCAGCTTGGTCTACAAAGCAAGTCTAGGACAGCCAAGGCTACACAGAGAAATCCTGTCTCAAAACAAACAAACAAAAAAAAATGGAACAATAATTCTCTTTGCCTGAGGATGTAGCCCAGTAACAAAGCACTTTCCATGGACGACTAAGGCCATGCATTCAATCCTCACAACTCTGGTGATAACAATAATGGTATTTCTCTTGAACTGGGCAGAGTGGCTCATATCTATAATCTTAGTACACTAAAGGTTGAGGAAGAAGTATCACAAGCTTGAGGCCATCCTCTATACTGAGTCCCAGGGTAGTCTGGGCCACATAGCAATAATTTCCCTCAAATAAGTAAAAACTTTCAACTCTATATTTTGTTTTAGTAAACTATTATCTGTGGTTACAGATTCAGTTAAAAACAGCAGTGTTAATCATTTGTTCATTATGAAGAAAAATCTTTCCTCTATTTGGTTACAACAATCCTGGGCTCCTGTCATCCTTTGGTTTTACAGATAGAACTTCATGTCTCTGGTACCCCACAGACGCTTTAAAAATACTCCTTATTTCCCCTAACAATGGAAGTAGGGGTTATCTCTGACTCTGTTGCCTGCCACTGTATCCCTTTCCCCTATCTGGGCTACTTTGTCAGGCCCTAGTTGAAGAGGAAGCATTTAGCCTTGATGTGATTTGAGGTGCCAGGATGAGTTGATGCCCCTTGGGGGCCTCCCCTTCTCTGGTAGAAAGAAGGGGATTTGGGGAGGCAGACATGAGGGTGGGAGTGGGAGGAGAGGAGGGAGGGGTGGGATCGGGCTGTAAAGAGGATAGATAGATAGATAGATAGATAGATAGATAGATAGATAGATAGATAGATAGATAAAATATTTCCTATGATCTCCTTTAATTTTTTCAGTGAACTCATATCAATATGCAACATCTATTTTGTATGCGTTAAAGACTGATAATGAGGGAAATGGATACAGAGATTGGTGAACCAATGTAATAACTCTCTTTTACATAATATACCAAAAAAGGGGGGGGGAAATCACTTGTCATAGACTTCTGCAAATGCTGATTCCTTTAGTGGTCACATGCCCATATTTTATATAAATAACTCAATTAGTAGGAGGAAAAGTTCTCTAAGCCATAATGGAATATACTGAGTTGTAAATGAACCAGTGAACACCTAAAAGGCACTTTATTTTAGTCCCTTTACTCAGTGTTATAGACATAGTAAGGAAAAAATCCAGGCTGCACAATTTGAAGTGGGCAGTTTGAGGTTAAAAGAGCCTATTAGCTGAGCATTTCAGGTGCTTTGTGGCCTTAGCAAGGTGCAGCATTAGCTTTCAGCACTGAGTGTTCCATTAAGCAGACATACCCACAGGCCTGAAAGTCTGTCTTTACTGTCCCCAAAACTTATGCCAAGTTCTCCACATCTGACATGTTCTTTGTTACCTTAGTTTCCTCCTCTTGCAACTGGATTGTTTTCATGTTGTTATGTAAAATTGTCTTTAAAAAAGACTCACGTTTAGTAGCTTTGATGTTTATACTTTAAAAAAAAAAAAGTCCATATATACTTACCTTCTGAACAAGGCTACACCAGTTATCAAAGTCTTTCTCTTCTTTGCAGAAAAATCCCTTGGGTGGGGAGGAAGAATACTATTTAGAATTTCCTTTTTCAAGATAGAGCTATTGTCCCAGAGTTAGGAGGTGACTCACTATCTCGCCGCCTTGCATCTTCCTTGCAGTATAGGAAATTAGACTGGCTGGGTGTCTCTCTCCCCTAAATCACTTTCTTACATATGCATACATATTGTAATTCTTTCTCTTCTTCCCTCTTTCCTCCCTCCTTCATTCTCTTTCTCCTTTCCTCCTCCTTGCTCCTTCCTCCATCCCTCATTCTCCCTCTGCCTTCTTCCCTCTTCCTCCTAGTCTCTCATTTCTATCTTCCCTTCTCCCTTTCCCCTCCATATTGTTAAATATTTTTACTTGGAGATCAGTCTCAAAAGCATGGGGTTGATTTCAACATATTTACACACACTTATATACACAGATATACACATACATGCATGCATATTTACACATGCATATGTATGTATATATATACACGTGTGTGAGTGTGTGTATACTTCAATTACAGCAGGAAACAAGAGCCAAATAGTACGTTAGCTAGAAGCACTGCTTTAAAAGGTAGCTTTGACTCTTCAAAAAAATTTATCTGTTAGAGTTGTGAGAAGCAGCAGTGTCCTTCTGCCCTGACAGTCATCCCTCAGTAGGAGGAGTGGTCTCAAACAAACTGGAAATTCTCAGTCTTTGGCTACTGGTGCTCTGATGGATGAAAAAGGAAATGGGGATATAGAAGAGTCTAAGAAATATGGGCTACTTCATAGCCAAGGGTCCTTTCAATGTATGTTGTTTGCAATCACACTTTCCAGAGCAAACCTTAGACTTCCTGGATTTGGGCATCTTACTCCCTTATCCCTTCCTAATCATTTCCCACCTTATATTTATATGGAAAATATTTGAAGGTAATAAGAAATAGGAAGAAAAAGACTAATGTACTACTTACATTTGTAGGGTATTTGCAGTGTGCCTGGTCCTGTGCTGAGCACCTACGTGAGGTGTGTTCCACCTCACATAGCCACACAAGAGGAAACTACTGTGTCCTTCTTCCAGACATGTGAAGACTGAGGCTCAGAAGGGTTAAGTGACTTTTCCTTCATAGCTCAATAGCAGAGCTTGGGTTCTAACTTGAGCAGTTTGATTCCAAGGGTCCACTCTTTACCCACCATATCATAGTGCCTCATTTAGAGGTGCTAAGTTAATGCGTTCTTGGTATGCTACCTAATAACTTGGGCAATTGCCAAGGAACCTATTTTAAGGGGTTACCATCAGAGCTCCTTTAAATACCCACCAAGGCCACAGAAGGATCCAAGTTCAGGATACTCATCCACTGTGGAGACTGGAGACAATGGAAAGTCTGGTCGTCTACTGTTCCATTCTCTTCAGTGTCAACAAAGGTTTGGGTTGTGTGAGGGTCCAAGAAAATCAGCTCATCACCTATTTTATATGAAGGCATGTTTAATCTTTGAAGAAGTACTGGCTACTGGCCCCACTGCTATCCTAAAGATGAGCTTTCCCCCATCCCACCCCCAGTTCTCCTAACCCCTTCCCTTGTAAGAATGAAAATGGAATGACAGGAAGCCCAAAGCTAGGGGTAAGCATGCTTAAGAAAAGCCTCATGTGCCAAAATCTAATCATTCAAAGAGAAGGCTTTACCTAACACATTATCTTTATGTCCAGGTCCCAAAATGAAAAGAGATAGGTTTGGGAAAGATGGGAATGAGAGAACACAGGATGACATGGCAGACTCTGTGAGCAGCAGTTGCAAAGATGTGATAGGAGAATCCCCAAAGCTGTGAGCTCCAATGCCACTGGGGGGGGGGGGGGGGACGATCTACACCTTTCAGCATTGGAAAGCATTTTGAGATATACCACTGGTTCTCAGATCCATATTCAGAGAGCACCTCTCAAAATGAAAAAAACAAAAACAAACAAACAAACAAAAAAAAACCTTGGCCTCCATAGGAAATTAATTCTGTCCACACACAACAGGTATGCTAACCTCTGTGGATCAGATCCCCGTGAGCTGCTCGTAATTAGTAACTAGCTAGTGGGTTACTCATGGTGAACAAGCCTGTCAGTTCCCATCAGCAAAGACAGCCTCTATTAAACATCTGCATAGATTAACTCACTGGAAAGACCTACTTGAAATGACTGGCCTGTGTGTGAGTGTGTGTGTGTGTGTGTGTGTGTGTGTGTGTGTGTGTGTGTGTATGTTTTGCTGGGAATCAAACTCAAGGCTTTCTTTACACTGTGCAAACATTCTACCACTGAGCCAAAACCTAAATCTAAGAAATCCAAGATGACTGAGTTTTACATGTAAGAGAATAGTCATGCTTCATTAAACTGCAAAAGCTCAACCTCAACAACACCCTGGAGGAGATTGGAATGATAAAATGTCTACCCTGAGGATAGACAGTTCTTACATTGGTTGCTAAGTAGACATAAATGCCCCAGGAAGCACCTGACCTCGCTGTGCAGGCCAAGGCCATTTGGGTCTCCATGTCCAACTGTGTCAGGTGACACACCTGATTAGTTACTTGCAGCAAGAAAATGTCCCCCTAAGTCTTTGGAATCCCATGCAGGAGAGCACATCTATATGAGTCTACTGGCAAAAAATATGTTAATGATGCCCAGTGAAAAATTTAACTCTTCTGTCTCATAGACAAAGACAAACTGCTTAACTCATTCTCCTTTCAAACACTTTTGTTTTCCACTGGTGTCATGAGGCCTGTTCTAGAATCTTACATGGTACATAAGAAGCAGAAATGTTCACCTCTATGAAATGTATGCAATATAATACCCAATATAAAGCTATTTTAATTATATCACTTGAGTCAAATATATTTACTCACAAATATGTATCTAAGAAGTATGGAAATCAGCATCTCCATCTGATTTGCCACAAGAAATCCAAAGTAAAAATGTGTCACTAGACTAAGGTGAGTGGGAAAAGTTGCAAAAAGCCTCAGATCACACTGAAGAGCAACAACCCAAGATGTTCAGCATGAAGCATTCCTAAGACATTACAATAAGGTACTTAGCGTGGACAGGGAGTTAGAGACATAAACATAAAAACCCCAAGAGGGGCAGAACCCAGCCATCCACCAGTGCTTTAAGTTAACGTGCTGGAAATAATAACAGCTTGTCAGAGAACAACTATGACCTTTTCCCATAAGTAGAGAAGGCACAGCTTTGCAGGCTGCCTCTTTCCTGAGAGTATCTATAAGAGATACAGCAGAAGACATATGATGTTCAAAAATTGATGTTGAGACTAACTAAGGGTGTCTGCTGAGGTAGAGAAGAGACAGGCTTGCCAACCACCTGCACAAACCAAGGCTAATGCTGGAGCTCTCCACGTGGCAACCTGTATCCCAGAGCAAAGAACAAACAGTTCCTTCTCCATAAGCAAGTGAAATCCAACAGGCAGAATATCAACATGGCCAGAGCCTCCCACATCTAGGTCTTCTCCAGCTGCCCACTTGGCAGAAGGGCCTTAGAAAAAAAATTAGGGTTGGAGAGTGCAGGGGTGACCACCTTGGGATCAAATCATGGCCTTCTCCCCCTGTTTGCTTCACTGCTTGTTAGCTGAGCGACACTGACAAAATAACCCCTCTTAGTCTTCATTTCACCATCTGTAAAATGAAAGTAATAACGGTCTCTCTTTCTCTCCTCCCTCCCTCTCCCTGTCTCTCTCACTCTATCCTCTCCCCTCCATTCCTCACCCTCCCTCTGTCCTTCCCCTCCTCCCTCTCTCAGGGGTACTAATGATGATGAGGAAAGTATGGGCATGTTCAGTACAGACTTTTTCCCCACAAACATTTCTGATCCATGGTCAGTCAGATCTATATGTGGGGAACCCACAGAATACTAAGTGATAGTGATGACTGTATCATTTTGTATCACTTTTGTTTGACAGGGACTCCAAACCTTGGACAAACAGGACATCTGAATGTGCATAGTTCCAAATACTGGGTTTTGTACTTGGAAAAATAAAAGGTACTATGAGCTTCAGATTTTCCATTAAGTTGTAGTTTTAAGGCTGGACCAATAGATGGAAGCATTACAGACACAGGCAGCTGTGGCAAGCCCTGCAAAAAAGACTGGAACAAAGAACTAAGGAAAGACAGGGGTATTGGGGGAAGCCATCTCTCACTGAACACTTATTATATGTCTCTTTGCTAAATAGTTTGTCATGAGATGACCTAACAGGGAATCAAGTATTCACTTATATTAAGGGAAAGAAATCCAAGCCTGAGTTATCTTTCTCCAGCAAAGGACTGGTGTGCAAAGTCAGCTATGTGTATTCTCATCCCAACTACCCAGTCTCCAAAGACTGATTTGGGGAGGGAATCAATGCCCTCTCTAACCTGTTCTCTGCATATTCTCCCATGGCACTTGCTTACAGCTACTCTAGCTCTTCTTGCCTAGCAAGCAGTCTAAGTTCATGACTTTCTTAAATCCCATTGTCTGACCACTCCATTTCCACAAGAGAATGCCCTGTGCCAAGTCTCTCTGCTTACATCTCTCCTTTTCGCATACTCTTCAGCACTCATCAGACATCCTGGTTCTTAAAGCGTGGACTAGCAGCAGCACTGAAAACCCTTCGAAAAGTAAAACTCAAGTCTCATCTTAGACTTTACTGAGTCTATATCTCAATAGGTTCCCAATGGGAATGTGTAAATAACCGAAGTCTAGGTGGACCAGCTAGCATGCCATGTGCTAAGAACCTTAAATGTCTCTGGTCACAGAGAGTGAGTAAGGTGTCAAGATATCAGCCATACACACACACACAAAAAAAAAATGATGGACCAATCACTAGGGCTCATATTGGGAGATTAGCTTTTGTTTTGTTTTGTTTAGATTTTTTTCTTTTGGTTTTGAGGTAGGATCTCACTATGTAGCCATGGCTAGCCTGGAATCACTACATAGACCACTTTGAGCCTCTATGAGATCTACTTGCCTCATGCCTCTGCCTCTGCCTCTGCCTCCTTTATGTTGGGATTAAAGGTGTGTACTACCATACCCAAGTATAGAGAGTCATAATTTTAAGATTTAGTCACTATTGGGAAAGGCACAACTCTGTCTTTGCATCTTCTAATTCCTACCCACTCATGACTCTAAATAATGAGACAGCAGGCTATTATTCATGGTGACCTGGGAAACTAGTGAATGCTCCAAAACTGTTGCCTGAACTTTAGTAAGAAGGAGATCAGCAAAGCCAAGGTACTGAAACCCCACTGCCCTGGGACCCACATGCAAGAGAGGACAAGTCTGGAGCAATGCTGTGACCTTGTGTCCAACCAGAAGGAAAGATCCCATCAAGAAGCAGAAGTAGATGCATTAAAGGGACCTGGTATCCATCAAGTACAAGAAAGCAAGAATTACTCTGTATAGATCAGGTTGGAGACAGAAGGAATTGACCAAAGGCCACAGTATCCCTAGGCTAAAGCAATGCCCTCTCACCAAAACTTCCTATATCCCATGAACACCTTTGCCCCACACCCTTCCCTAGCCCATGACAACTTACTTGCAATTCATTCTTTCTTACCTAAGAATCCTATGAAATAATAGGCGTTATTTGGTTTTCCTCCTAAAGCCCCTAATGACTGTGGCATCTTAAAACACTCCTAAAGGGAAAGAGAATGCAAGATTCTCAACTCACTTGTGGACTGCTGCTCACGGATCTCTGTGCTGACATGGCATGTGATGGGCAGGCAGCAATGATTTCAAGAAAAAAAGCGACTTACTTTGAATGCTTCAATGTACACAGGATTGATTTGGTTTATGCCCAGGCGAAGGGGCACAATGAGCAGCAGGGGTTTCCAGGCTGGGGACGTGGCAGACATGCCTTTACTCTGACTGCAACCAGTCACAGAATCAGGAAGGCTCTCTTCTGCTTTGTCAGCACCCATAGGAAGAACATAGCACATTTTCTCTAGAAACAGAAGGCAAAAGATCTGGATGAATCTAGCTCTAGGGCATTTTCCAAAGGTAAAGCACAGGGACCTCACATGCTGCCCTCCCTGCCACCTCTCCTTTGCCACCAGGGACCATCTAGCCACACTTCCCACAGGAATTCCAGGCTATTCTTCATATTGGACACTGAGCACTTGCTTAGTGCCCAACAGGCATTCTGGACTCATTTCAAGAATATCTTTTCTTAATTAGTCTTTGAGGACATTGGAGTCAGGAACTGTATATATCTTTGGGCTTTTCTAACCTTAATGGAAGAGAAAGCAGGCCTGGGCAATAGCCAGCTTCTATGATCCCTCTATTTGAGACTTAACAGATTATACACAGCAGAGCTCCTGCAGCAAAAGGTATGGCACATCTTTGATCAGGTTTTCCTTTTCAGAAGACTGAAAAAGAAGGGAACAGGGCCATTCTACTCTCCTAGGTTCTCTTGTCCTTTTGGAGCAGGCTATAATATCTGTTGAACTCCAGACTTCTGATTTGGAAAAGGGACTACACCCATCAATGAGAAGGTAAACAGCCCAGGGACTCACTGATATCTTCAATGACCACTGTGTTATCCATTGAAACATAAACAGCCAAGGAATTCCATTCATCAAATAAAGCGAGTTTTCTGTGAAGCAACATATAATGGAATCACAATTGGAGAAGATAAGAATATTATTTGGAAGAGTCACAATGTATTTCCAGCATTACTAAGGTCACCACACACTGAGCCACAAAGAAGCTTATGTTTGGGTTAGTTCTGGCCTCTTTGGCAGAGCTCTGGGACATTTCATATCCAGGGCTTTGGAGAATACCACAGAACCACTATATCTGAACTTCTAAAAGAAGGTCTTGCTTTATAAAAACGGAAGAATCTACCTCATCAAATGGCAGCATTCTTAGTAGAAGAAAAAGAAATGTCATCTATGTATCTGTCGTGAAAGTCTGAACATATTTTGTTTTCTTAAAAAGAAGACATTCTGAATTACTGAATTTCTTTAAAAGAAGAAAAAGTGTTAATGCCATTTAAATATATATTGGAAGCTATTGTGATTCAGTGGTAGAGTACTTGACTAGTGTGTATGAGGTCCTAGATCTATCCATCCAATCCCTAGTACTATATATATATATATATATATATATATATATATATATATATACACATATATATACACATATATGTGTGTATGTATATATGTGTGTATTCATTTATATAACATGTGTACATATTAATATGTATTAATTAATTATTAATGTATTAATTATTAATGTATAATTATTAATGTATTAATTAAATATGCATATTTTCTATGTATATAAATATTAATATGTATATATAATATGTGTATATATAACACATATAGATTACAGACAGACATTTATATATGTGTATATGTATATACTTATCTATGTATGTATGCATATAAACACACAACTCCTCTTATATATTGATAATATGGAAACCAAGTACCAGAAAATAAGGAAGAAGGGGAAAAAAGAGAGAAAAGAGAGGAGAGAGACAGCAGAGATATCTTGTTCTCTTTCCCACATACTGAGAATGTCATTAAAAAAGACTTCAGTTACAGATGACTTGAATGGAGGCCCTACTAGCCAGCAGTTGAAGAGAGGCAGCATGCCTAATTGCATGATTTCATAGGAGAACTTATAAAGAAAACTCTTTTAAAAGAGATATTATATCAGGTTGAAGTACCTAGATATTTCTCCTTTACCTTCTTCCTTTGCTAGCATAAAAGCACATGTTTATTCTGTCTATTTCTGCAACGTGTGGATAAAAGCGGTCTCAGTAGATGAAAGAAAAAGATCCTTTTTCCAAAGCAGCTCCCAAGAAGTGGTCAATTATCACTACACAATTTAAAAATTTGCATGTGCATGTGTGTGTGGTAGATGTGTGTGTATGTCTATATGCATGTATAGATACCACAGGATGATGTCAGGATGTTTTCCTCAGTTGTCTCTCCACCTTATTTTTTTAAACATGGTCTGTCTCTTAACCTGAAGCTCACCATTTTAACTAGATGGTGAGCCTCTGGGATCTTCCTGTCTCTCTCTCCCAGTGCTGGGGTTATAAGCACATTCTCCTTACTCTTTTATTAATCATATAGTTTCTGGTGATGCAAAGTTAGGTCCTCATTCTTCCACAGCAAGAACCTTATCTACTGAGCCATCTCCTCACCTGTAATTTCACTTTTAATTTACTAATTTTAATTCATTACCTTTCTTAGAATAACAGTGATGTGATTTATGGTCACTGGTTTCACTTATAATTATCTTTTTTTAAAACTTTAGGATGGTGCAAAGGTGACATGTATTTAGTAGAAACCAAATTTTGAATATGGAATTTGAATCATTCCCAGGGTTAATCACACACAGTGTCAGACTCTCCCATGATTCTGGGGAATGGCAGGGAGCTGCAGCTCCAATCAGCCAGGCGGTTATCAGGGGAAGCTGCTCATTTGTAAGGCTGTGATGTTCAATAGTTTCGATACAGTAGATACATTGTGATTTACAATATTTTCACAGTATGATGGGCCTGCCAGGATATAACTTATCTGTCTTTTACTATATTAAAGAGCATATGTGCTATTGTTATTTAAGGCAATCATAACAAAACCAACACAATTAAATTCTTATGAAAATGAAGATGGATGAGGGTGAGAAAAAGTATGTCCTGGGACATATAAGAGGAAAAGAATGTTTGTGATCAGGCTATCAGAGGAAGACAAAAATAACCAGGGCTGGGGAGACAGAGAAAAGAAAAAGAAGAAAAACGCTTTGATTGCAATGTAATAATGATATCTCACATGTATGCTGATTTAAAAATAAATGAAAAAAATGACCTTCCATTTGTTTATTGTTAGAGACCTCAAAATGAAGAAGGAAAAAAGAAATTCTATTTGAAGCCAGATTTGGAGCTTGACTAAGTCCCAAATATTGTATATGTTCTTTCCTACATTTGTCCTACTACACTTCTGATATACTGACAGTTTCTCTCTCAAAAGGGGCAATGATGTCCAGAGGGTCCTCTGGCAAGAAAGTGGTCTCAGTGAAACTGTACAGGGAACAAAGCCAAAGCACAAACAGTCCCTGGGTCCCAAGGAAATCCAGACTACTCACCTCCTGTGCATTTCTCCCAAAATGCTATTCACTGAAGACTGGTTGACCATTGAAACAAAGCCCCCTTCTACTTTATACGGAGCCATGATACCCAGAAATTGAAATACACTATACTAATGAAGGCCTAATACATCTCCCTACATCTAGCCCAAGGTTCTGGCTGCCAATTTCATATATTCATTGAGCACTTATTGCGTGCTTATATGTAGTAGGCAGTTTTTTGGGCAACTACAACAAGGCAAATACATTCTTTGCCTTTGGAGGGCTTTCATTCACTGGCAGATTGTCAGGAAGGAGAGCTCCACAAGAGATAAGACGGCCTGCAGATGTAGGTATTAATGACATCGGCTCCATTATACCCTGACCTCTCTACCTCATCTCTTGTGATAGAAAACAAATTGTGGGATGTAAGAAAAGAATCATGGAAGCATCACCTTAAACCTGCTAAGAGATGACAAACTAATTCCAAGACTCCCTTAGGGTTTGCATGTTCCAATAGGTTGTGAGTTCCTCGAGGTGATGACTGTTTCTCTGTTACCTCTGTATATCCAGTACTTACACATTAAAAGCACATAGTAAATGCTAAATGAATTAGTGGGGCTTTAAAAAAAACATATTATTTTTCCAGGGTAGTACATGCTTTGGTGCATGTGTGAAGGTCAGAGGAAAACCAGCGTGGATTGGTTCTCTCCTTCCACCATGTAGTTTCCATGGACTCAACTCAGGTCATCAGGCTTGGCAGTAAGCACGTTTACCCAATGATCCATCCTACTGGCTCATTAATGAGGTCTTTAATACTATACAGGATAGAAGTCTATTTCTTGCCTAAGCCAGGTAAGCCTCTGCCACTTAGTATGAAGATTTTAAATTCAAGGAACCCTCAGGCCTATGGTTCCCTGGCACATGAGCATCCATCTGTAGAGTGAGAAACAGAATGAGTCTTGAGTATAGCCACATACATTGATACAAGTGACTGCAGCTCTGACACAACAAGACAGAGGTCTACACTTATCTACATCAAAGGAGTGTCTGAAAAAAATGGTAGAGTTGTTTGATGGTTCAGCAGGAGGGGTGGGACTGCAAGCATACCTAAGCTGATGGGAGGTTTAGCTGGCGGGGGTTGAGCAAAGGGCAGAATCATAAGAGCAAGTAGAACAAGTAGGTTCCAGATGTTTACTTACTTTATCACCTGTGCAACTGTATTTGGTCCAAACCATTCGCCAATTGATTTCCCTTCTCCTACACCCATTTGTGCTGTTTTATGTGGAAAAATCAACATGTTAGCAAAATATCTTTTGTGAGCCACAGATGCCTCATTTTTTTTTTTCAGGAAAAAAAAAAAGTAGACAGACAATTTAGTGAAGCCACATATAAGGCAAGGAAAGAAAAAGTTCATATGCAGTAGTTTGGAACAAGAAATTTGATGATCTTACCCATCTGATGGATCGAATAGCAGCAGTCTTTTCTATCCAGGAAACACTGCAGAATCCTTTGGTATTCTTTGGGTTGTTCTTTTTGTTTTTCCCAGTTCCAATCTTTTATGGGGGAAGGGAAGCATGAAAAAGAGTTACAATCAACCATAACTGTTTATTACCAGGCAATAAGTTAGAAGGAAAGCAAGAGAACTACATCCAGAAGGTAGGCATGGTGAGGTTGACGTATTTCAAAGGGTCTCATGAGAGGAAGTGCTATTATGACATACAAGGGTTTATGTGGAAATAATATTCACAATTCATTGCCAAGGAAGTATCTTTCATTTAGATAGAAAATGTTGCAAAACTGTCAACTTCTAAGGATTTAGTGGGTCCATAGTAAAAGCCAGGGCTGGGGACTATAGCTGCATGGTAGATTACTTGTCTAGCATGTGTGGGAAAGTTAAAAGCTGAGGATGATGTTGAGCAGAGAATTAACTTGCCCCAAAGGCTGGAGCTGGATAAGGATTACATAACAACAGTGTCAGAAAGGTATTTCCTGGCAGCTACACCAAGAGGATATAACCCAGACGCCATAGTGTCTCATCTCTACACAAACAGCAATCAACGGCTTTTGTTGTTATATTATGGCAGCATTGCCAATGGGTCTCATGATGGGAAATGCTATTCTGATATACAAGAGCTTATGTGGAAATAATATGCACAATTCACTGCTAAGGAAGGGTTTTTAAACAATTGTATACTAAGAAAAGAAGGAAAAAACACTGTAATTTCAGCATCCAGGAGGTTGAAACAGGAAAAGTTCAAGCTCATGGCAAGCCTACACTATATTTTGAGTTCAAGATTAGCCTAGGCAATACACATCAAGACCTTTCTTTCAATAAAACAAAACAGGAGAGAGATAATTCCATTTGTAAAGTGTTTGCCAACGTACGGACCAGAGTGTGGAAACCCAGCACCCATGTAAAAAAAACTCAATGTGGTAGTAATATGCACCTATACTCCAGTACTGGAAAAGACAGAAGGATCCTTGGGGCTTGGTGGACAGCCAGTCTAGCCAAATCAGGAAGCTCTAGGTTCAGTGAGAGACCTTGTCTCAAAAATAAGGTGGAAAGGGATTTAAGAAAGACATGGAAACATCTGGCCTACACATACATCCAATCTATGCCACATCTGCTTACATGCGAACAGCCAGGTATGGTAACATATGGCTAAAACATCAATGCTCTGGGATGGGGAATAGAGGCAGGAAGATCATGAATTAAGTTGGGTTACAGGATCAGTCCTAGGCCTGCCTGGACTACATAATAATAACATGCCTCAAAAAAATACATGCTAACAATTTTTTTAAACACAAGCTTAAGTTTAATTGAAGAAAGCTTTCATTAACAATGAACAAGAGAATTAACAATGTTTACCATTCTTTAAACATCATATACATTATTAATATATATGGTGTATTTCCAATCAATTCCACTCAGGCTCAATTCAAGAAACACAATTATAATAGGTTTTATACAAAAAATACTCCACTTAGAAAGTAGATAAACTGCACAAAACAGTACAAGTATAATGTGCATAACAGTATAGCTTGAAGCATCTATTTATGTCTTTGTTTAAATCAAAATTATTAGGGGAATGGGCCTACTTAGGACCTATGGTTACAGTTGACATGTATAAACTGTTCACATCATTTTTAGGCACTTCCTAACAATAGTTTTTAATCTCTGAAAAAAATAAAATGTATGCCCCCAACAAAAATAAAAAAGGTCACAAATAACACCCAAGAAAATAAGATGGGTACATGTTCTCTTTTTAAATTGCCAGCTTTTTCTTTGATCACCTCCCCCTGAGGGGGGAGCAGCCTCACCAGTCCACAGAGGGAGATAGTGCAGCCAGTGCTGATGAGACTTGATAGACAGGGTCAGATGGAAGGGGAAGAGGACCTCCCCTATCATTGGCCTGGGGGAGGGTATGGGAGGAGAAGAGGGATGGAGGATGGGCATGGGAAGAGAAGAAGGAGGGAGGGTAGGATTGGGAGGGGTTGGGAGAGGGGGCTACAGCTGGGATACAAAGTGAATAAACTGTAATTAATAAAAATAAAATTAAAAAAAGAAAAAAATGCCAAAAAAAAATAAATAAATTGCCAGCTTTTATTAATGCATGCAAAGAACTGAAAGAAAAATAATTTTGTGTCATAAGCTTTCTGGTCAAACTGACATAATGAAGTACAAAAATACGTACATTTTTGTTACATACAAAAAAGCCCTGAACTTTTGATCCAATCAATGAAAATGTTATTAACATGTATAGTAACAACAAAACAAAAAATTACATAGTACATCATTTTCTAATTCCATTATACAATAAAGCAAAAAAAAATGCAAGTGTGTATGGTAAAGTTAACTTAATGGACTTTTATGAAAATGTCCACTTTGAAATTGTTGGGCATGTCTTTTAGGAGTTTTTCTTAAAGTTATATGTACCTGCTACTAAGTCCATCATTAATGCTTTGCTCCTTTATTTTCAAATGCCAACTATTAACACTATTTTGGATTGTTAGTCATCCTGAAAAGTTACTAATGAAAATGGTCTGTCAGACGGTAGATATGTTTAGGTAAGAACAGTAATTAAACAAAAGCAAAAATATAACCTGCTTTGCTAACCCTGCTTCAAAATATTATTTCTGTAAAAGTAATTTTTTTTTAATTCTCAAGGAAAGTCATTCCCTTTGAAGTGTTTCTATGTTCTTTTTGTTCATTTTGAAGGGATGCCAAGCAAGGTAGGGGGGAAAAAAGCCATTTGGTTATGGCAAATTCCAATCAGATAAGCACAGTTCTATGCAAAGGGATTACTGGAAAACAGAAGCAAATTCAGGAAAATGTTGAAGTTTAAGTAGATTTTATGAAAAGTTTATTTCTCTTCTGGAGACTGGCCCATTTACTGGAGTAATTGAGATAGCCACAGGAAAAGACCATCATCTTGGGAGGGTATTCCAATCTGATTCAGGGCACAGTAACAGCAACAGGAGTTACTTGCCCAAAACTCTCCAAGTATTCTTTCAAGTTTAAGTACAGTCCAGTAAGACATAGCTCCAAAGGAACTCAATACCTTTCAAATGAACTGTAACATATAGAAAGTAACATTATCCAAGCTCAGTCTATCTTCACAAGTTGTAACAAACTCAAGTGTGAAAGGGTTCTGTTCCACCTCCAGAAAAACTGTCAAATCCATAAGGCTGGTGGGAGAGGAAAGGGGATGAGGCTGCCACCATAATCTTCTACTCAGTCTCTTAATTCGACTGGGAAAACTCTTTTGTCAAAAATTTCCTTAGCCCTACCTTTCAAATAGCAATAGATGCATCTTTAAACAACTAAATAAAGGTCTATCTGTGCTAATTACTTTCAAAACGTGTAATTGTGGCATTTTCAACTACCACACGCAAAGCTTTTTGTTCTTCCACAGATATATAACCAACTCTAAAAAATGTCCAAAAACTATACTGATGTAGAAAATGCCTGAATTATGGAACTTGACCCATATTTTTCCTTCATCTTATCTTTTCCTTGGTAATCACAGTAAGTTATTCTAACATATTCTAATCCCAAGTAGATTCCACTAAATGTCTCTGCCCATGGCCAGCCCACACATCCTGATTGTCAAAAACTCTACCACAGAACCAGCAGTTAAACTTGGCTTTCAAGGCATCTTCAGAGGTAGTATTTACAATCCAGTAATTATTTTTGCTTTACTTTTTGAGTATTAGTTTTAGTACAAATCTTTCTTTTACAGAATTAACATGTTTAAGCATTTTGTATCTCTTGGAAAAGTCACTGTACATGCTAACAATTTTTTTAATTTTTATTAATTACAGCTTATTCACTTTATAACTCCCCTGTAGCTCCCTCCTTACTCCCCTCCCAATTCTACTCTCCCTCTCCCTTCTCCACCCATGTTCTGCTCCAAGTTCACTGATGGGGGAAGTTCAGCTCCCCTTCCTTCTGATCCTAGTCTATCAAGTCTCATCAGGACTGGCTGCATTGTCTTCCTCTGTGGCCTGGTAAGGCTGCTCCCCCCTCAGGGGGGAGGTGATCAAAGAGCAGGTCAATCAGTTCTTATCAAAAACAGTCTCTGTTCCCATTACTATGGAACCCACTTGGACACTGAACTGCCATGGGCTACATCTGTTCAAGGGTTCTAGGTTATTTCCATGAATGGTCCTTGGTTGGAGTATCAGTCTCAGAAAAGAACCCTGGGCCCAGATTTTTTGGTTCTGTTGCTCTCCTTGTGGAACTCCTGTCCTCCTCAGATCTTACTATATCCCCCTTCTTTCATAAGATTCCCTAAACTCTGCTCAGAGTTTGGCTATAAGTCTCAGCATCTGCTCTAATATTCAGCAGGTAGAGCCTTTCAGAAGCCCTCTGTGGTAGGCTCCTGTCCTGTTCCTTGTTTTCTCCCTCTTCTGATGTCCATCCTCTTTGCCTTTCTGAATGGGGATTGAACATCTTAGCCAGAGTCCTCCTTGATTAATATCTTTAGGTGTACAGATTTTAGTATTTTTATCCTATATTATATATCTAATATCCACTTATAAGTGAGTATATACCCTGTGTGTCTTTCTGCTTCTGGTATACCTCACTCGGGATGATCTGTTTCAGTTGCCACCATTTTCCTGCAAATTTCTGATTTCTAAGGCGAACAATCAATAAAAGGGACCTCATGAAACTGAAAAGCTTCTGTAAAGCAAAGGACACTGTCGTCAGAACAAAAAGGCTGCCTATAGATTGGGAAAGAATATTCACCAACCCTATAGCTGACAGAGGGCTCACATACAGAATATATAAAGAACTCAAGAAGTTAAACAGCAACAAATCAGTTAATTCAATTGAAAAATGGAGTACAGAGCTAAACAGAGGATTCTCAATAGAGGAATACTGAATGGAAGAGAAACACTTAAAGAAATGCTCAACATCCTTAGTCATCATGGAAATGCAAATCAAAATGACCCTGAGATTTCACCTTACCCCCATCAGAATGGCTAAGATCAAAAACTCAAGGGACAACACATGCTGGAGAGTATGTGCAGAAAGGGGAACCCTCCTCCACTGCTGGCGGGAATGTAAACTTGTACAACCACTCTGGAAATCAATCTGGCACTTTCTCAGACAATTAGGAATATTGTTTCCTCAAGATCCAGCTATACCACTCCTAGGCACATATCCAAAAGATGCTCAAGTATACAACAAGGACATTTGCTCAACAATGTTTGTAGCAGTTTTATTTGTAATAGCCAGAAGCTGGAAGCTACGCAGATGCCCCTCAGTTGAGGAATGGATATAGAAATTGTGGTATATCTACACAATGGAATATTACTCAGCAATAAAAAATATGCTAACAATTTTTAAACACATTTTTTTTAGTACTGGTTATGGAAGCCAGGGCCTTGTTTTTGACAAGTACTCTTCCACTAAACTATGTCCCTGACCCCACTTTTACAGCATTTTGTTAGTTTTGGCCATAGGCTTAATTATATAGCCCTGCCTGGATAGTCTGGAACTCACTATGTAGACCACACTGGCCTCAAATTTGTGGTGATCTTCCTGCCTCATCCTCCTAAGTACTAGGATTATAGGCATAAGTGACTACCCCTAACTTGCACACCATTTTAAGAAAATTTCACAAGGAGCTTGAGAAAACAAAAATATTTGCTACCAGGTATTCACAGTTTCTTTAAGAGCAAAATGCAAATCACTATAATTCTAAGGATCCTATCTGTGCCTTTAACAAACAAGGCCCCCAAATGCTGCAGGGGCTACACAGACTTCCTGAAGAGAACTTCAAAATGCTACATAACCATCTGTAGTGATAGGAAGCATTCTCCTCTCAGCTCTAGAAATTCTGTCTAAGGGACAGATTTGGGAGGGTAAGTTTGCTTCCAAGACATAAATTTCTCTCTTGAGGATATATGGATCTATGGATCAATGGATCCCTCAGATCCCTTTTGTTCCTACTGTCCCTGAAACCAAAGTCTTAAGCTTCAGCTCTATCATATGCTCTTGGGTGAACCACATCCAACTCATTTCCATAGCTACTGAGCTATCTGTATCTGAGGAGATCTTAATTAACTGACTGCTAAGGACTATCAAGTATTTTCTGATGATTGCTGCACAAAGACCTCATCTTAGTTTGAAAATGATCAAATGGGAAAGAATTCAAAAGACCCTACAAAATTACCTCTTCTAATTCATTTTGACCACAAGATCTATCCAAATTCTTCCTGCTACTTGCTTTTATGCTGAAATAACTGTGACTGCTGGCTGTGGGAATTTTCCAGTATGCCCTCCATTTCAAGAATTCACTGTTAGGAAAACCACCTCCAAGTTTTTGAAACACGAATTAAAAGGGACAGCAAGACAGCTCAGCAAGGAAAGGTGCTTGTTGCCAAGCCAGACGACTAGAAATTGATCTCCAGGACCCTTATGGTCAGAGGAGAAAAACGTACTTAAACAAGCACATTGTGGCACAGTTGTATACACACACACACAGTCAATATATATTAATTAAAAAAAAAACACTACTAAGGATGCAACTGGAAAATAAAAGTAAGTCAGTCTCATAATGACAGGTATTGCATACTTTTTTCTTATGTGGAATCTAGGGAGGAAATAAGGCATGAAAGTGAAACACAGATTATTGAGGAGGTAAAAAAGGAACAAAGGAGGTGAGGAGGGATAAGGAATTGTAACACAGGGGCTGGAGAGATGTCTCAGTGACGAACAGCACTACACTTCTTTTGCAAAGGACCCAGGACACATGGCAGTCAGCTCACAACCATCTAGAATTCCAGCTCCAGGAAATCCAACATTCACTTTTAGCCTCTGTAGACACAGCATTCATGTGCACATGTGCACATACACACAAACACACATACACACAGACTATTAAACAATAAACATAAAATATTTTAAAATGGTAATACATAAAGTGACTATGATCAAAATATATAAAATATATGGGAGTGCCACAATAAATCCTATTATTTTATAAAATCAATATATGCTAATAAGGTGTAGATTTATCCCATCAAACAATAATATATCTAGATTAAGAAGTATATATAGTAATTGGTGGAAATGGAGTCAGAATATCAGCATTATATTCTCACATTTCTGGTGCTTAACCCTGGGGCAAATCATCTTGCTGCCATGAAGCTTAGTTTTCTCATTGTGAGCTAGAAATTATGACAGAACACAAAGAAAGCAAACAGAAAATATCTTAAATTCTGGCAGGAGGGCCATAAGCTGTGAAAGTTCCCTAGTCCTTTCCAGATCCTCTACAAAACATGGTGCAAGACCTATGAGTCTGCGCAGTGAGAATAATAACAGCCAGCAAGGTCAGCTGCTTGATAGCATAGGAAATTGGACTTTTACTTGAATGTCTGAACTTATGTCCATCCAAGGTGTTCCTCAGAGGTCAGTGAAGAAGTGTGCATTTGTCTCGGAGAACATAAGAACAAGAATTACCAGAGGGTTGTTAACTAAGGAAGCTGCCTCCACAGGAAGCTAACTTAAGTATTTTTGAATATTAAATGGACATACACAGTGAATCAAAACCAAAATAACCCCAGCTTCCTTATTAAGCATTTCCTTTAGGTCACTTACATCCTGAGTCACAGGGGTATTTTAAAAAGAGTCAAGAAACAGACTGCTCACCACACCCTTCTTCCTGCTTTCTTTTCATTTTGTTTTGTTTTGTTTATTGAAACAGGTCTCCCTCTGTAGCTCAGGCTGGTTGGAAACTGACTATACAGGCCAGTTTAGCCTCAAGCTCACAGCAGTTCTCTTGACTTAGCCTTCTAAGTGATGTGATTATAGGTGTGAGCCATCATGGCCAGCAGCTTTATGTTTTGTTTTATGTTTTGAGACAGAGTCTCTCTATGAAGCCTGGCTAACATGTAATTCCATAGTAGACCAGGCTAGCCTCAAATTCTCAGAGATCTGCCTACCTCTGCCTCCTGAATACTGGAATTAAAGCTGTGTAACATTAAGCCCAGTTAGGAACTACAGCTGTTGTTGTTTTTTTTTTTTTTTTTCATCTGACAAAAATAGAAATTCTAAATGATACATCTGTCCCACGTTAATTCTGTCCCAGGAAAATAACTCTCACATGAGGAAACACAAGCTGTTCCAGTCCTGGGCTTGGTTGACTTGTCAGCCCATCACTTGAGCTGTTACAAAGCAATTCAGGATCTGCAGTTTTGTTACTGCATGTTCTTAAACCAACAGCAGCAAATGATACAGCAGATATCTCTGAGACGATCTATAAAGCAAATGAAACTCACCCCTTCCCAAGTGTTTACAGATGAGGGCTTGAGCCAGCATCATCTGCCCACAGCGCAGCATACATCCCCATCCAGCATCAGATGAAGGGCCTGTTCCCCCTGTTGCCAAAACAGATGGACATGAAAATGGGTTTCTTCAATTAATATTTTCTCAGGCATCAGTATATTTGAAAGTACAAACACACATACATATACATGAACTCTAAAAAGAGTTCATACAAGGATTTGGATATAGGAGTGGACATTGTAAAGGTAATGTTGAATCAATGGAAACAGGTTCTACAGGCCAAAGACAAAGCAAACAAATGAACTAAACAAGCCCCTTAGGTTTCTTGCTTTGTGCCTTCAGAGCTTGCATGCTATTTTGGTAAGTGACTATCATATATGGCTATCTATATTCAAATTACCTTGGCTAAAACACGAATGTCCACCAAGGGTGGACATCAAAATTATCAAAGACATATGAAAGATTCCTGACTATTTTAAATGTACTTAATGAAATCTCAAACAAAAACAAATTGATGAAATAATTCTAGATTAGGCAGAACACTAATATCTAGTTATACAATCTAAGTACATACTCTGCCTCCTATCAGTGGATATAAATGAGAAACTGTTTAACAGTGCTAGAACCCACAGAGGATACTTGGTATTTTAAGTATGATCTTACATAAAATGCTATTAATAAGTTAGTAATATACTATATCTTTAACATATATAAACCTAGTTAATAAATAAGACAATGAGTTCCATTTTAAGAAGATTTTATGTAAATTCACACATGTGGCCAGAATTAGCTTTATTAGGGTCCTATTCAAAAGGACCAACATAATCAAATAACTTGATTTTCTTTTCCAACTCAGAAGTAGAAAAGAATTCTAGAGGCATTATATTAGAAGTCTGATTTCAAAGAAGTTATCACTCTTGTAAAAAAAATGGGCCAATTTATTATCCCTCATCCTGGTCCCTTTGTTATAGGGACTGAAGGAGCATCACTATATCAAGACTAAGGGAAGTGACTAGATTTGTGAGTTGGAAGGAGAGCATTCTGGCTCTTGCTAAAGTTGGGATTGAAAGTCAGATCACTGCATATTAGTGCACAGAAAGACAGAAAAGCTATTACCAAAATGCTGTCAGAGTTGATTCAAACATTGCCCAGCTTTGTAAAGATTTCTTCCATCAGCGAACACTGACAGTCTAGAATAGTTGAGTACTGAAAATTGTTCTTTTTTGTTACTACTGTTTGAAGAGCAAAAAAAATGTTTGTGTAGACTTCAGTTTGAACCCATCACAGGAAGGTTAATTTCACCCCAATTACAGGATTCAAACCTGTATCAAAATTGGTCAGACAAGTTTCTTTTTAGGAGAGTAATTTTCATCACTTGTAGATTCATTCCTTCTTCTCATTACACTAGTGTGTGGCTACACTGATCATAAATATTTTACAAGTCTCTCAGAGTAAAATAATTGAACTTATTGAACTCTTCTTTTCCCCTAGAAGGTAGCTAGAAACAGACTAAAATACATGAAAGGAACTGTATCTTTTTTTTTATCTCTGAATGCCAAAATGCTCTCATTTCATAAGGAAACAATAAAACGAATTATTTTCTTTCCTTCAAGGCCCAAACCTCTTTAATAGTGCCCTAGTGCCATACAGCACTGAAAGGTATTTTAATAGCTAGATACTACCCAGTTAAAACTTATTTGATTTTTTTTCTTTAAAAAGCAATACTATCTGTTGCATGAACACTTGAAGGTGGGTCAAAATTACTTCTAGTTTAACACTACACCACCGTAGAACCACACGTGATAGGTTACTAGCACAATGATATTTTTGGATGAAATAAAATTTAACTGCTCCCCAAAATCAAATTCTTTGCCACAGTGAGCTGTTAATTCTGAGGTTTATGTAATATCATTAATAACCTCAGGCAAGCTATCTACATGGAAAAAAGCACAACACAACAAATGATATACCTACCAATCGGTGAAAATTTCCTTCTGTATGTAAACCATAGACGAGCACTTATATCAGACAACAGCTTAGATTTTTCTGTAATTAAATGTAAAGTTAAAAATTAAATCACCATATCCCATCTTTTTAAAATACCTACATTTTATCTATACCAGCAGCAAACTTATTTTCAAACAGCCAATCATATCATATGGATTATTATAGGACTATGGAAATTCACAGAAACTTAATCTCATTTGAGCCTAATAATTTCAATACTTCTCTTTATATTCACTTTGACCAGAGCTACTCTACAGGTTCTTCTAATGATATTTGATACTTTCTGTCTCCTTCTCAATGATTTTTAGGATCCTGACAGGTGTTACCACTGATATCATGCCCAAAAGACAAGAAAAAGGGAAAGCAAGACTCTTATATAACCTAGTTAAGGCAACCATCTCCAGCCTGAATTATGATAGTATCAGTATCTAGTCTCTATTTTCTAAAATTAGAGTTTATATGTTTGGAGGAGGTTCATGCTCAGGAGAAGAGGTGCAAATACATACATCTAACTAAAAAGGAAATGTTCCTGCTAACTTTATGTGAACTTTATCCATAGTAAGGTAAAAGGAAAAAGGAAATAAATGTTCCCGCTAACTGTATAAGTTTTTTACCCATAGTACTTAGTACCCTATTTTTATGTAACAAGATGTATAATATCACAAATATCTTGCATGTCTTTTCTTTTTTTGTTTTATTTATTTTTATTTTTTTTGCATGCCTTTTCAAAACATATGTTTTGCATTCTATTATGTAAAGTCCCCTCAAACACTACAGTTATGGCTTCTTCGTTTCCTCTTTTATTTGGATATGGTTTTGTATTCTCTGGTCACATCTCTCCCTTTTCTCAATACCATATGCATATGTGTATTTAGTATAGAATCCATAGTCATTGTGTTTTTAAAAGTGAAATGGAAATTACAATTTTACCAATAGTTTCTAATTCCATCTCTTGGAGAAAAAAAAAAAAAGAGCTGCATGTTTGTTTCATTTTCTTGTTCCCAGCACTTATCCCCCATTTTGGGAGCTGTATAATGTTAAAGAGTAAGAGTTCTTGGACCTGGAAAAATAGCTTAGTGGTTACAAGAACTGTTCTTCCAGATGAACCTGGGTTCAAGTCCCAGCATCCACATGGTAGCTTACAACGACCTATAGCTTCAGTTCCAGGGTATCTAATGCCACCTTCTGACCTCCTGATGCACAAACCTGAACATAGGCAAACACCCATATGCATAAACTAAATAGATAAACTTAAAAAACAAATAAGAGTTCTCTTTTTTTTGTCTTTTTAAGCACCCCACTCCTACCCACTTAGAAAGCATATCATGTATCCTAAGATGGCCTCAAAATTGCTAAAGACCTTGAATTTCTGATTGTCTGCTTCTACCTTTTTAGTACTGAGGTAACGGGCATGGCAAACAGTCATGGTTTATGAGGTACTGGAGACTGAGTTCAATAGTTGGTGCATGCTAGGTACTCTACAAACTGAAATACAGCCCACAACCCTGAGAAATATGGTGGCATATTTTTATAATACTAGTACTCAAGAACCTAAGGCAGGAGAATTTCAAAATTAAGGCCAGCCTGAGCTACATATTGAAACCCTGTAATGGAATGGGATTTAACTTGGGTTTGAAATCTAACTCAGCTACTTACGTTGCACATAAACTTATTACTCAATTTTTCTGAGCTTCTATTCTCTCATCTGTAAAATGATGAGTAACAATACTTATTCATTGATGAGCTGTAAGTATTAAACAAGATAATTCATATAAAGCAGGGTATCAAACAGATGCCAAGGCTCATAGCCAAACTCTGAGCAGAGTTCAAGGAATCTAATGAAAGGAGGGGGAGATAGAAAGACCTGGAGGGGACAGGAGCTCCACAAGGAGAGCAACAGAACCAAAAAATCTGGGCACAGGGGTCTTTTTTGAGACTGATACTCCAACAAATGACCATGCACAGAGAAAACCTAGAACGCTTGCACAAATGTAGCCCATGGCAGCTCAATATCCAACTGGGTTCCCTAGTAAGGGGAACATGGAATGTCTCTGACATGAACTAAGTGACTGGCTCTTTGATAACCTCTCCCTGATGGGGGAGCAACCTTACCAGGCCACAGAGGAAGACAATGCAGCCAGTCCTGATGAGACCTGATAGGCTAGGGTCAGATCAAAGGAGAAGAGAACCTCTCCTATCAGTGGACTTGGAGAGGGGTGTAGGAGAAGAAGAGGAAGGGAGGGCGGGATTGGGAGAGAAAGAGGGTGGGTGCTACTGTTGGGATGCAAAATGAATAAATTGTAATTAACATAAAAATAAAAATAATTTAAAAAATAAAGTTGAAATATATAAATATATATACACATACATATACATTTATAGAGCACTTAGTTGATATCTGGTATGCAATAAGTATGTGCCAAATGTTGCTGTTATTATATGCCTATCCCTTTAAATGTTCACACAGGTCACTCTTGCCTCTATAGGCTCTATACCTTACAGCTTGGCTCTATGCTCTGAAGAAATGAGAACAAATAAAAACTTTCAGTTTAAAAAGCATTTCCCAGCCAAGCATAGTGTTGAATGGCTGTAAATCTCAGCATGTGAGAGGCTGAATCAGGAGGATTGCTGTGAATTTGAGGCCAGCCTAGTCTACATAAATGACTTGTAGAATTCTAGGTAAGTTCGAACTATAGAGTAAACCTTTCTCAGAAAAAAATAAATAAAATAAAATAAAATAAAAAAAGAAGAAAGGCATTTGCAAATTGGTATCGAAATAAAGCACTTATGACACCCTAGATTTCTTGTAGTTTGAAAAAAAAAAAAAAGCTTTATCTTTCTGAACCTTCCCTTCTTCTCCAGGAATAAGTGAAGGGTTAACTTTTCAAACTACAATTCTCTAATAAAACACTGGGGCCTGGCTCAGCAGGAAGGGAAAAGCATAAATTCCCTGCCCTTAGATCAGCTTCCTTCTATCCCTTACTATATAGCTCTAAAGATCTCTTCTTGTGAAGAAATATATCTCAGAGCTGCCTCTCCCAGCATAGGTAGATGATGAGTCCTTAGCAGTTTCAGAGCACCAGGTCTCTTCTACTCTTCAAGAATGTTGTGGTTTTGATACTCTGCAGGGTAGAGTCTTTCAGAGGCCCTCTGTGGTAGGCTCCTGTCCTGTTCCTGTTTTCCACCTCTTCTGATGTCCATTCTCTTTGCCTTTCTGAATGAGGATTAAGCATCTTACCCAGAGTTCTCCTTCTTGATTAGCTTCTTTAAGTGATGAGACCTGATAGACTAGGATCAGATGGAAGGGAAGGAGGACTTCCCCTATCAGTGGACCAGGAGAGGGGAATGGGTGGAGAAGAGGAAGAGAGGGTGGGATTGGGAGGGGAAAAGGGAGGGAGCTACAGGTGGGATACAAAGGGAATAAACTGTAATTAATAAAAATATTATAAAAAAGAATGTTGTGGTAAGTGGAAAAACTCAAGCCTATTTTCTATCCACTGTAAGTATCTAGATTTTCTATACAAAACAAGAATCAATTATGACAAGGCAATCATTAGGAAATCCTCTGAAACAGAAGATTTCTTGTGTTTGATATTATTTATGACAGTTGTGACTTATTTGGAAGTCCTTATGCATTTTGTCCAGAAGCACAAAGACACGATAAGAATAAGAAATACATAGCCTAATGATGAGATACTAGATAGTAATAATATGAATGATTTTGAATCCTAAGTCTTCTGGAATGGAGATAGACTTCTTTATAGAAAAGAATAAAAATACATTGTTTTTGCAAATTATACAAACAAAACCGTGTAACATGTAAATGTCCTACTAAGGACTCTTGGGGTCTTGGAAGGAACTGTGAAACAAGCAAGTACCTGCGGCTGCATAGTAATAAGTCTCACAGTAGCATCAGCTCTTATCAAGACAATGTTCTGTCAACCCAAGAAGAAAAATAAGGAACTCTTAGACCCAGGCACCAAGTTACCTGGGTCCTCCCAGACCAGTGCCACCAAGCTTACCCATCTTAAGAAGATGCTGCTTCCCCAGGATCCATACCAGCTCGTCAGTATCCGGGAATTCTTCTAGGTAGTCAGTGAAAAGAGTAATCTGGTTTTCATACTTGGACATAACTAAAGGAGAAAAAAAGACACTTAAACATAATTTCAGAAATAGGGCTTTCTGTGTTTACTGATTTCTACCTCTAAAGGAATACTTAAATATTTAAATAAGCGGGTGCATAGCAAGCACTTTACTGACTGTGCCACCTCCTCAGCCTTTCATATTTCCTTTCAGCATTTTCTTGTGGTCTATATAAAATGATATCTGAAAATCCTCATATCCAGAATTACGTTAAAACTCTTTTTTCATAGCTTCTCCCCACAAAAGTAGAGCAAAGTTGGGGCAGTAATATTGTCAGACTTGGCTCCTGTCTGTTCCTAAGGGAATATTTGAAGGTTTATATGGAAGGTTTCTAGCAGCCAAGGCCTTGGAGGGGGCTGTGACAAGCCTGGAAAATGTGCAATTGTGGAGATGATAACACTGTAACTAGAAGACTATATATTTTTACAGTGTTTTCATTTTCTATGTTACTCATATATGGCTTCTACAAAGAAGGCTCTTGAGATTGATCATAAATAGAACTTGTTCCTGAGATTCACAAATGAATATTGTGATGTTGTGATATAATAAGAACTATATATTTGCTCTCTGTCACCATTTTCTGGAACACAACTCTGAAAATATCTGAGATTTCCTGAGCACTGGGATGTCAGATGCATCTTCTTTTGTTCTAGTATTTGGTCTTCGAACCTAGTTCCAAACATGGGGCTCCTAATCCCTTGGAATTTCCTAGGTTAAGAGTATCTTTTGTTCTAATAAGGCTGTTCTTGGTTGAGCACTCAGATGCTAATCACCTGTAAGACTAAGCATGTACTAAAAGCATGGAAGCTTCATTCCTAACCCCACCTGCAGGAAGGGAAGAGAGGCTTAAGATGAAGTCAAAAAAGCTCATGTCTACATGATAAAGCTTCCATAAAAAAATTGCACACGCGTGGGCACATGGGTAAATGTACACAGGTAAATACTTCCCTGAGCTTGTAAGCAATACTTGCAAATGATTAAACCACAGGTGATAAAGAATGGGGGACATTGGTCATAGGAACTTTACTTTATAGCCAGTTAGTGAAAAGAAGATATCTCAAGTTGGGACTTATAACTGGTATCTCAAGTGCGGACAAATCTTTCAAGACTGAATGTTTAACCTATAGGATCAGACCCTAACTCCAGGTGGGTGGATGGACACTATAAAATTACATTAAATAATACGAGACACCGTTGGTGTTTGCTAAAGAACTGGTTTGTTGAGAACCCACCCCCTCCAGACACAGTGTTTATAGAGGTGCTGAGTGGTGAACATGTGTAGCAAAAGCAAGTTTCCTTATTACATTCAGCTATAGTTATTTCTCAAGGTAAAGTATTCAAGTGAAATAAAATGAAATAAAACTATAGTTCTCAAGCTATCCTTTCAGAACTGACAACCCTGCAATATGAGAGGTGTCCAAGTTCACATTCACCTTTGTGGGAGGGAGGAACAGTTCTGCTAAAAGATTCAAGACTGACTCATATAGGAGTTCTGCCTCCAAATTATTTCTAAGTAATTCTCTTTTGAGGCAAGAATAATAATATTGGTAGTAAATAAGTTTCTAAGCCAGCATGTCAAAATCTGTTTTAATCTATAACCAGAAAAGTTAAATTGATAGTTATAATTCACAATTTATGGTGCTGTTTGCATGGGAAAATGCACTGTGAGTTGAAAACAAAGGCACCCAACATTTCCTATCTCTTACCTTTTGAAAGATAGCCCCTAACCCCTTTCCAAAAAGAAGCTGAAAGAGAATAGGGGCCCTTTTGATCAGCTGCCAGTAGCTACAAGGACTCTCTAAAACAGTTAGGTCCTAAGCATCCCATTGGGTGTATTTTCCTGTGTGAGCAGCACTGTGGGATATGTTTAAGTCACTTGAAAGGCCAGAGTGTTTGGGTTTGGTTTTCTAAATCAGAATCATGCTGTCTTCACAGAAATAAATGTTCCTAAGTATGAAAGATCCCTTGCCAACCATGAAAGCAGGTGTCTTAGCTCAAAAAAGATTTTGTTGGCGGTTGAAGTCATAATCCGTTGTCATTACTTTTAAAAACACAGCTAAGTAGGAGTATTTTCTTGAAACATTTCAGAATTCGGGTCTCTTGGGAATTTAAGTAGCCTTTCTCCTTTGGTTTGTTTTGATTACTAAGATTACACTCTCTGTAGCGTTTCAAACCTAAAGAAGTTAGACATAAGACGGTTCTCTCATTCCCCAGAGAGCATTCTGCCAGAGAACCTGTGCCCTCTTAATCACTCTGCCTCTGGCCTCAGATCCTGGCCCACACACAGGAAATACCAGGCTAAAAATGATGATTCAGGTCAAGCCCTTCCCAGGAGGTGGTGGGTGACAGAGGCAGTGTTGATCACGTGGTTTTCCTCTCCACCTCATCCTCAACCCAGCACAGGCAGGAGCTTGAGAGGAGCATGGGAAAATGACAGCCTTGGTAAGAGTGAGGACAGGTGACACTGGATAAATGTACAGCATGTACACATAGAAACCTTAGATCTGTTTTTAGTATGGGCAGAAGAAAATGATTCCTCTCTTGCTAACCCTGCTACCATGAGTCATTGCCCAGCTGTCTAGTCAATTTAGTACAGCCCTTTAAAGTCTGTGACAACTGCCCTGCTTCACTTAGGATGGCTCTGAATAAAATGGTAGCCAAAGAATTTGATTCTGGCTCTTTACGCATTCTCAAGCTGTGCTAGGCCTGCAAGATCATTATAGCTTCTATTTGTATCCTTTCCCCTCTTAGAATACAGACACCCAGAATGCAGTGTGTCTGTCCTCAGTAAATTCTCAATCAAGGCTGCAAATATGGAACACAGAGACGATGAGATTAGCCAAAACACAAGAGTGGCAGAGTCACTATCTAAAAGTGTGCCTGCTCCAACACCAAGAAAACTCAGACAGAAGACAAAGCCACCTAAGAAATGGTGGAGGTGGTGAGAAAAAAAAAAGTATTCTAATTTCTGACACAATTACTTTGGACTAACAGCAAACACCTTTAACTCTCCTCAGGCCACAAACTACATTTGGCTAGCCTTCCAAATTTAACAAACCAGATATCAAGCTTAGAAAGTTCTCTTCTTTCAGGCTAAGTAAAGGCAGGGATACAAACAAGCAGTTTGTTTGACCAAAAGTAACTGCTACTGGGCCTAAGAAAAAAAATACACTCCACATTGTTATATATTATGTTAGAATAATTATTGTACTGACGTCTCTAATGGGTTAGCTTAATGATTAAACCAGAATTTCCTTGAACTTCTAGAACCTAATGCCTCCTGTCCTAAACAACGGGGCTCTGTACACATGTTAGGACATGTCTTCACCTCCAGCCAAGTCAAGAGATACTTCTGTCTTCTATATTCGGCTTCGTAAAGCTTAAGAATGAGAATTATGTGTCCTGAACATGTACACAGCCTTGGAAATACAACAGCCCTGTGTATACATGTGTTTTCTAGATTCTCAGGACTATCTCAAGCTTTTAGAAATCCCCGACACATCATATCTCCCTGTTTTTCATTGGACACTTTCTGTTTAGTTAGCTGCAAAGGTTTGCTACTGCTTCAGGCAATTGAGAAGTTGTGTCTAATGGTTTCAAAAACTCCACCTCTGCAACCCTGAGTCAAGATCAAATAAATAAGACTTATAAGTGGGGCCTTCCAAGGAACGACTAGACAGATGATAGTTCTCTAGAACTGAAACTATTAGGGGTCATAATGGCTGCTAGGTAGCTGGATTTTCTGTGACTGCAAGCTGTTGATTTTCAAAGATATAACTACAAAGTACAAGGCCAAAGATGGGAGCAGGACAAGTTAAAAACACAGCAAAAATTCTTCTTCCCAACATATATCGATTTTCTTGGATACATGGCCCCTGTATTGGTGCAAAGCTTTTCATTTATGGAATTCTGAATACATTGATTCTGACACATGCTGCCAGGGTTTTTTGTTTTTTGTTTTTTTGGGTTTTTTTGTTGTTGTTGTTGTTTTTGTTTTTCCATTGCCATCAAGAAGAAAATATTTCAAGGCCCTTACTTCATCATTTTTGCTAACATTATACTTTCCCCGGGGATTGACTATATTTTCTCACGGTTATTTTAGAAAATTACAAGTAAATGAAAAAAAATATGCCTTGAAACACAAGATTTTTTTTTTTTTTGCTACAGTTTAACAAAGACCTTACAAAACAAGGCTCAAAGATACTGTGAACCTTGTGCTGAAGAAAGAAATGCCACAAGCTCTTTAAGGTGGAACTAAAACTAAACTCAGGGCCAGGAGGAATTTGTGATAGAGGTTAACTCCTTGTAGGTTCCCCTTTCTAACTGCAAGCAAGGAATGCTTGTTCTAAATCAGCCTCCTCGGCATACATGCATAATAACATAGTACTGGAAGGTCATATCTTTAAAATCAAAACCCTCACAGGAGAAAACACATACACACAGCTGAATAGCTATCCATAGTTCATTCCGTAAACATGAACTAAGATGTTTATGTACCAGAACCTACTATGTCCTAGGAATGAAGGGAAAAAAATCAGTGAAATACAGTGTTGGTCCTTCACAGGTATTTTTTACTCTACAATGGAAGATGGTTCCGGAATCAGATAATAGCAGAATGTAGAACATTCTGTAGAGTAGTGTAGAAGGTTGAAAAGCAAAGGGCACAGCCCAAATAGTACTGAAAGGACCTTTTCAAATTTAGAAAGGTGACATGAGAGGTAAGCCTCCACGGCTACTGAGGTAAAGCTGTGCCATGCTCTAAGTTACCTATTGTGAAAAATAGTGATTTTCAGGCTGTCTTGTCCTGACTGATTCCAGTTCACAAGCAGTGTGTGGTTTAAGATGCAGACTGAAGATAACTCTGGATTCCATTGTGTGCATGGATAACCACCACCTGTCCAGCACCACCTATGTAGCACAGACTAATATTGTTTTCCTGAAAGGCCAAATGTAGTACTTACAGACTGGTAGGCTGGGACTATCTGAGCTC